TGTTTTTTGGGTTTTTTTTTTTTTTTTTTTTGTGGTTGGACTCGATGATCTCAGAGGTCCCTTCCAACCACTAAGATTCTGTGATTCTGTGACTTCTGTCCCTGCAGTGGTACCATCTCTCCGGCTGGACCTCCCCAACTCTTAAAGAACAGTTTTCATCACGCGGTGTGAACCTCCCAAGCCACGGCTGCTTTCTCTCTCCTCATAGGTTAGTGAATTTACAAATGCTGGGGTGCTATTTCTGTGCAGAGTCAACATCCTGGTCGTCAGTGGGAGATAAACCCCAAAGTTTATTTACTTTCCTGGGGCGTTATGTGCTTGTTCTAACTGCTGCTTTGTGAGCTTTGGTTCAGTTCAAGTTCTTAATGTTGTAATTCATCACTAAGCTGCCTCGCATCGTAAGCCCCCCAGCTTTTGGGGGCAGGGAGAGTAATGCTGTCAGACTGGCTACAGCCCTTCTGCTTGTGAGGGAAAGGACAGGTACAGGGAGAGGAAACTAAGTTTTTGAGAAAAAAAACCCCCCCCCCCCCCAATTAAACTAGAAATCAAACTGAAAGTAATAAAGTATCAGTACAGATTTAAAACGCTAGCACATCTTGTTATGGAGAATTTCAAGGGCTTTCTGAATAGACTGGTGAAAGCAGAATAAATATCACTTTTACTGTTATTTGGGGAGGTAATAAGTGAGTTGTCATGTCTAAAGAATCACAAAGAATGGGGCTTATTGTCTTCGTGCTTTGAAATGCTCCACTCAAATCACAGGTGCTCCCATTAAAAAAAGCTTAGAGAGCCCAGCAATCAGGAGAACGTGGCCTGCATGGGAAGTGTCAATTAAATGCCAGCATTTATATTTATACAGGTAATTTGTTTTCTCACCAGCCACAGGCATGCTGAGTGGGAAGGCTGAAAAAAATCTCACCATTGCAGGAAATAATCACTGCACCTAAATTTTAAATGTAGTAGCAAAAGAAATCACCGTTTCCTTGGAGAGGGATGCAATGTCTGATGACAGACAAACAGAGTAACAACATGGAACTGAAATGAAAGATTTAGCCCAAATCAGCAAAGGTCTAGGCAGCTGCTGCAAAGGTGCTCAGAATATCCCTGATCAGCCTGGGATCTGGGATCTGGGATCAAGTAGCATTGAACAGTGTGTGGAGCTGATTGTCAGAAATGGAGCTGACATGGTATCCTGGGTCTGAGCACATTCCCAAAGGAATCCAGATCCAAAAGGTATTGTTTGAGAAGTAATTCCACAAATAAATTCTTGCTGTAAAGATAGAATCTGGCTCTGAAATTAATACATCAGTAATATATTTCTGTGCAATCTTAAATGTATGAGTGTTGGATGAAATCAGGGCCTCCTTTTGGTCAATGAAAATGTGACAATTTTTTCACTGAACAAAACCTAGAAGTGAGGACAGTGACAGTTCACTGTCCTCTGCTTACTGCCCTGATTTTGCTGTATTGTCTTCTTGTTTTAATGTTTTATTTGCGAGATAAAAGGAGATCTTGGAATGAAGGCTTGTTACAGGGAAGACAGTGAAAGGAAGGTAAAAGGAAAGTCAAAGGGGAGGGAGCGGGGCTGGGGGAGAGAACTCCCCTGGATTGTGGAAGGTTTGGGAAGAAACAACCCATCAGACCAGTCCCCTCCACCATTGGTCCAAGAAGACGGTTAGTTCTGCTGCTGGTGTGTTAGTCCTGTATGGGCACAAGTAGTCACGAGGCACTGAGGAGCCTCTCTGATAAATAGCTGCTCTAACAGATGATGATATTGACACTAGGAGTCTGTGTTTTCAAAAGGAAACATTATATTACACTTATTTAGCTGACATAATCCGAGCCCTGTTCAGTGCTCGCAGAGGACCTGTGATGCTGAAATAGCTTGTTTCCACAAAGCACTTACCAACACTTGCATAGGGAGAGCTTGGCTCTAAATCCTCAGCACTGGCTTTTTGTTTATTCGTTTTTTTAACTCCGGGCAGAGCCAAGTCTCTGCTGCAACCGACACAGTTTCACTTTGCAAATCAATGAGACAGTGCTACAAGGGCAGAAGAGTCTCGCCCGTGAAACTTCATACTGTTCAGAGCTGCCAAACTGACAGCCCTGACTGACTGCTGTCTTCATGGAACTAATCCACGCCAAATGTCTGAACTCCTCTGTGGCTCTCACCACCCTCCCAGGCTCCTCCTTAGTGAGACCTTTGGGGATTGTTCAGGCTCCAACCAGCAGTAAGTTGGGGAAATGTGTCCTCTCCCAAGTGCAATAACCACTTTCCAGCCCCAGCTTTCCCCCCTTGGCTTTGTTTGGGGGTAAGGGCTTCCAAGGCAATGAAAATGAGAGCTGCTGGTCTGTCCTCAGGAGAGCGGGGGGGGGACAGAGAGGTTGGCACCGATGGGACAAAGGTGAGGGCTTTGTCTGAAGTGGACTGAGTCATGGTATTACTGGAAGGGGTGAACTTGGCATCCCTGCTCAATAATAGGCTGTGAGAATCTAATGGAAGAAAAAATTGTCAAGTCTATTAAGATGCGGTCAGAGTGTAAGTCAATTAATGAAAATTACAGCTACCCAGGCTATTAAATTAACATGAGATTGTCAATAGGAAATATAGATCGCTTTTGAATAATTTTAAATTATTTAAAACAGGGTAATAATGAAAATCTCACAGTGTCCATGATGCAAGTTTAGTTTTGATTTTATTACTGTTTGAGTTGTGTTTTACATTTTCTTGTTTCACCTTCATGATTGTTAAAGGAACAGGAGCTTTAAAGAGCAAGACATTCCGAAGTAGGAATGCCAAAATCTGCTATGAGGCAAAAGCTTAGAGGTGGCTGGAAATGAGCTGTCGTTCTGCAGCGTGATCCACAGCAGAGCTGGAACCAGGTAAAGCCACATGTGTCTAAATGCAGCCCTTGCATGCAAAATGATAGATCAAGTTTTTTAGCCACTGATTGTGTCCATCTCACCCGTTCAGGTGATCAGGACTAGATGGCCTCTACTGCTTCAATTATGTTGGCCGTTAATGACAATACTTCTCACAAGCAAGCTGGGCTGCTGTGCCTGATACTCCTATAGCTCTCACCACGTGTGGCTGCTGCCACTTCAGCTGTGGCCTCCAGGTAAGAATTTAGCATTTTGCACAGCTCTGGACTCCTGGAAATGCCTGAATACAGAGAGACCAGGAGCGAGCTGCCTCTCCGGCTGATTTGCCTCTCCAGGCAAATTTGGTGAAGAGAGCTCAGCCCTGACTCAGGGTATTCCTCAGGGCTAAAAGAACAAATCTAAATGTACTTACAGCATGCTTTTCCACTCTCGAAAAACTGGTTCCACCTGTGGGTGCTGAGCCTGTAACAGCCTCCAGACAATCTGTCCCCCTTGGCTGGAAGTCAGGGACCTTAAGAGAGCAGAGAGGGGAAATCTGCAGACTTAGGAAGAGAGATCCGTGTTCTTCCCAAGGACCTCGGGGACTAGCTGATCCCTACAGAAGGATGGTATGTTCAGCATGACTGGAAGTATTAGCTGGCTCAGCCCTGAAACCTCAGAACACTGTGTACACTGCTTAAATCCAGTTTAGTCATTGCTGGAGGGAGGCAAGGCTGCCCGGTTAGAAAACAACCCTGACACACACCTGTGCTTTGTCAAACAAAAAATGCTGAAAGGGGTTTTTTTTTGCTATCTTTATTCCCTTTTCATTCATTTTTTTTTTTTTTTTTCTCTCTTTTTTTTTTTTTCCTCCTGAAGCTGATCTTTTCCCGCTGACTTGATTTCTTTCTGACTGTTCTGGGATGAATCACACAATCCTACACGTCTCTCTGTCTAACAAATGGGACTGTGGAAAGGGGACCTGACTAATGTCCCCTACAAGGAGAAAATGATAATTGATGCTTTTTAATTACAAGTTTCCTGCATTATGGTCTAGTTTTTCAGTTTTCTAGCTTATAATCATTAACAGTATAATAGAGATTTAAGTAAATTGCTGCCTTTGCCTCTTGTAGCATATATAGGTCAGATTTTTATGTTTAACGGTTATTATCTCTGACACTAATTAGTGCACTGACTGCCTGACAAAGGTCACATCTGTGTTTCCCGCGTTGCATACAAACATGTGCTCACACCAACTGATTATCCTAATTGCCGTGTCTTCTGGAGTCATTCCCACCAGGGCAAAAATCACTAGTTTCACTTGGTAACTTGCTTTACACCTACTTTGTACTTCTGTCAGTGAAAGACAAGTCTGAGGGCCAAGGGGTGTCAGCAGCCATCACATCCCCAGCACATGTCCCCTGTTCTGCACTTCTGAAGTCACAGCAATCATCACGCTTCACGCATCCTTGGCTTTCCAGGCTCTGTGCAGTTGCCGTCAAAGGGATGAAGTTGTTGCTTTTCCGCGAGGAAACGAATGGAGCTTTTATTCCCTCTCTTTGACCGAAGCACTTAGATGGTTTTAGGCCCGGTGGATTGTTTCTAATAGCAGGCAAAATTGATCACTCAGGTGCTTTGATGCAGCCCTTTTATTTACAAGGAAAGTACAAAATTCCATTTACTTGAGCAGAAGAGGAATCAGACAATAGGAGAGGCTTTGTCTGCGTGTGATGTCAATTCTTTCAACCAGCACTTTATCCAGAAGCACTCCACCCTCTTTTTTTTCCTCAAGGTCGTTCTTGCAGACTTTATCTGGCTTTACCTGGTTTTGATAGAAGGCTGCTCCTGTCAGCCCAGAGGAGCTCAGAGCTGCTCCAAGCACTGCCCCCTCCCCACGTCTTCAAAGCCCAAGGTTTCAGTCAGGAGAAACCCTGAATTCTTTAGCTTCTCCTCCAGGTTTGCCCTTTTGCCTTCTTTCTTAGGGTGGCTGTTCCTGTTTCAGCTGCCTGCTTCTGTGTGAGAGCTTGTTTGTTTCTTACACAAAAGAATACCCAGTGAAAGGCAACATTAAACCTGTTTGGGTCCTACGCTTTTGCTTGAACCCTGTGTCTGGCTGGCATTAGGGTTAGATACTCAGCATGTGGTTTTGTGCTGATAAAGGGTAAGAGCTTTGCACACTTATTGTCAGTGGTGAGGAACAGGAAGATGTGATTGGGGCGAGATGAGATTCTCACTGCTGAAGTTTTTCCTTTATGTGTTCCCCTTGCCACTAGAGAGAAATAACCTGTTGACTGGTAAGCTCTACGCATTGCTAATACTGGGTTGAATTTCTCTGCATTCCTTGCCCTACTCATCGTGTTTAACCTTGGATTTATTTGTAGACAACTGCACTGAAGATCCTGTTTAAGAAAGCGAGCAAGCCTGGACTTCGTGTGTTTTCTTGCAATATTGTCCTGGACAGTTTCCAATCTGTTAATGAAAGAACACCGACATCTAAGCCATCCCCAGGGGAGGTTAAAGATCCGTCTGAGTTCTGTAAGAGGTTCCTAAATAGCTGTAACAAGCCCATACTTCAAAAGAAATACATTTTGCTATTTTTAAAATATGTGAGTTTTGGAAGGCTTTGAATATCAAGATTAATTCTCTGTCTAAATGCAATAGAAAGCAGCACTGACTGGTGAGCCTCACTCAAATCTGGAAGGGTTTAATATTGTCTGGATTTGGTGTTCTAAAAGCTTAAGGTATGACAGTGTTTAGTTTACTTTTTTCCCCAGAGCACACTGTGCATGTACTTACGGATTCCTTGGTATATCTCACTGGATTAACGTGAAAAATATATTACATTATCTATCAGCACTTGAAATTTTGACTCGAGGATTCTGGTTGGATAGATTACTGAGCAGTGTTTAATTGAAAGATTTAATGATTCCCTGAACAAGACAACGACTCACTCTTGAACAAGAGGGAACAGCTCCTACAGAGGAGAGAACAGCCCCAAGGTGGTAAGGAGCCAGTTATTGCTGCCCAGCGTGGTGCTGTTTGCAGCAGGCAGCAATTTAAGCGGTCTGTGGAAGCTGAGCAGAAAGGTCCAGGGCAGCTGAGCAGGTTTGGACACTGGATGATGCACCAGGTCACTAAAATTACAAAGTGAAGCTGTGTATTCTCAGTGTCTTGCATTAGACACCTACCTGGGATGTCCGAGCTAAGAGGCTGCTCTGCTCTCCACTATGGTCACCCAGAGTCCTGTTCTGAACTGCCCTTTGGAGGTGCCTGTCCCTTGTCATTGCCTATAATGGGTAGTCTAAGGAGCCCAGACTCCCTATTTAGCCACCTGAGTGATTAGCACAGCAAGATGTAATTTAATAAGTCTCTGTGCTGAGGCCTTCATCCTAAAGTGCTGTACAGTTAATATTACCAGACAGAAGGAGAATGCAAAGTCCAGAACAAGAATCCAGCTGTGGAGACACTGAGAACATTTGGTTTCAGAGGCTGGGTCCAAATCAGCTAGAAAAATGGGCCAGGATGGAGCTGCCACTGGTGGTTTTTTGGTTGTAGGGAGAGAAGGGAAGGATTGACTCTTGGCTGCGATTATTTTGTGTGAATGGAATTATGGGGGGGTCAATCTCTTCTCCCAGGTCACAGGCGATGGGACAAGAGGAAATGGCCTGAAGTTGCATGAGGGGAGGTTCAGATTGGATATTAGGAAAAATTTTTACATTGAAAGGGCTATTAAGCATTGGAATGGGCTGCCCAGGGAAGTGGCTGAAACACCATCCCTGGAGGTGTTCAAAAGACGAGTTGACATAGTACTTATTGACATGATTTAGTGATGTTGTTTTTTTTTTTAATCAGAGTTAGATTGATGGTTGGACTTGATGATCTTAAAGGTCCCTTCCAACCTAGATGATTCTATGATTCTCATGCTCTGTCAGAGACAGTTCTTTAACACGTGAAAATACCAGTCCTGTGTTTGCTTTGAAAGCTGTGCTCTTGTTCCAGGGTGTAACTGCACCTTCATGTTCTCATTGTTTAAGCCCAGTGTCCTCAGCAAAGCTCAGTGTCTCACTTGCCTCATTTAAAAGAAGACCTTTCCCCTATTTCATTCCAAAATGCTGGACTGACTGGCATAGTCATTGGGCTTTATTCTGTGATACACTGATATGAGCCACAACGATGCTACTGCTCAGTTAAAGGTTACTAATTACTGCCACAGAGATTGCAGTATTGCAAATACTGCAAATTTGCAATATTCACATAAATAAAGGTATTTATTTACCGAGCAACATTCTAGCAACATTCAGGTTTGAAATGGCACTTCCTAGATATGCACAACAGCCTAAATGATTTCTGCCTTACAAAAACAATGCGTATTGTTTATACCCTCAGAACATGGGAAATGCCCTGCCCAGGGGTCCATCTCTGCCAGTTCTCCATCTCAGCTGCAGAAACCAACGTCTCTTCACTATTTTATCCCTCTTGGGTAACTAAGAATTCACTTCATGCTGCAATTTCTCATTCCATTTTACCAGATTTACATTCAGCTCCGGATCAGATGTTAATGCTCTCAGAACAAAGACATCTGAGCAAGATGATGCTGTTTTTATGATGGTATTGATGTTTTGACCTCATGCCAGCATGATCCAGGAACATTTCCCATTAAGGCTATTGATGTGAGTCTTTCCTCGAAGGGGACACTCAGGAAACCTTACCTGAATTATCTTTTAAAGTAGATTAGTTAAATTCTATTATGCCCTATGCAAATATTCATATTCAGAATTAAGTGGCACTAATCTGATTTAGTGTACTTCACTCTGAAACTGAAGAAAGCTAAATCACATGAAGGCCGCTTTAATTCTGAGTAACAGCACTCATGCAGGACTCCAGTGTTGTAACCACTTTCAAGTCACACTTGTCATTAATTCAGGTTAATTTTTCTGACTTCACCTGAGGACAATTCAATCATTATAGATGACCTGACCATACATTCTGCTTCCCCCCTACTCCCACCCCCTGAAATACTGTGGGCTTTTCTCCTCCTGAATATTGGACAGTTGGTTTGGAGTTCTGGGTCTGAGGGTTGCTGCTCATTTCTAGTCTATAGTCAATGCTCTTTTCTCTTTACTAACCATTTATGTTAAGCACATCAGTGCAGAACCTTAGCATCTGTTCAGGCAAGAGGGCAAAGGTACTGCTGGCTGGTGCTAATGTTCCCGTGGTAGAGCTGTGCATGTGGAAAAGTTGCAGTGTATGTGCCTGGTTTAAATATGTAGCTTCAGCTGTTCTGTATCACGAGTACTAAATTTCCTTGTAGATTTAAAATAGGCGAATGATTTGGCGGCTGAAAGGTCAGGGCACTTGCTCTTTTATGTTGTGCTTTGCTTTTCCCGATTCATAGAAAATTGGCTGTAGCACCTGATGTTAACATCAAGGTGCAATGCCTGCACCGATAAAATGTAGAATCGTGCCATTGTGTCCCCCATACCGTCCCCCAGCTTTGTTTTTTGTCACAGTTGCACTCTGAAGCAGTCCAGCACTCAGCCAGCGTATATTCTAACTCACAAAGGTCTCTGCGGAGGGAGGAGTATTGACTTCTCCATCGTGTGCAGATCAAATTTCAGGCTTTTAAAGTTTTGTGCGTTTGCCAGGTACACTGAAACACAGATACCAGCTCTTGCAACCTTCATCTGACTTTGGCTATTCTGCGTGGCACATGGGCTCACCTCCCCCCCGAGATGGACGGCGCCCCTGCCATAGGTGTGCACCAGCTGCTTTCCCTGTCTGCATTCTGTGTCGGGGTGAGATCAGCCTGTGTGAGAAGCATCGGGAAGGTTTTGTGGACCTGAGAGACACCAGTGCAAATTTCACAGCGTGCAAACTGTGAAACCTTCCCTGGGAACAGGTCTGCCTCTGGGGCTCACCTTGGCAGCACAGCTCCAGCTCTGCACACTCTGCTGACCTTGTTTTAAGCCTGTTTTGTGAATCCACCCGACCCCCTGGCAGAGGAGGTCATGCTGCTGCATCAGCCCACAGCTGCGGGGAGAGCGGTGGATGGTGGAACCTCCTCTGGCTCTGGAAATGTGTCTTGTCCGAGCGTGTGCAAGGACTTGATGTGAGCAGTAGTACAGACCTGTTCTCCACAGATACTTAGGATTCTAGAAACCTTTAGTAAATTTTGAAAAAAAGAAAGGGGAGGGAGGGAAAGAGAAAGATCACCAGCACAAATGAGGAAAAGAGGATCTATCCTCAGCTCAGTGTTAAAAATGAAGCAGCAATACAAAAAAAAAAAAACCCTGAAGAATCACAGAATCACAGAATGATATGGTGTTGGAAGGGACCTCTGGAGATCATTCAGTCCAACCCCCTGCCAAAGCAGTGTCACCCAGAGCAGGTTGCACAGGAATGTGTCCAGGTGGGTTTTGAATGACTCCAGAGATGGAGACTCCACCACCTACCTCTCTGGGCAGCCTGTGCTGTGCTTTAGCACAGGAAGCAACAAGATCTCAGAGCTTTTGTGGGTCCCAGGGGGAATTTTAGAAGCAGAGCTGGAGCTGGACTCAGAGAGCTGGGGGAGGCTCTCTGAGGATGGCTAGGATCAGCGGATGGGGAAAAGGCATGGGTTGGAGACCACAATGGGCAGATTTGCAACTTGAAGAATTCAGGTCCAAAGGGAAACTCATATTCCCCTCTGTACAATGAAGCCTTTGGGCAGGGAAAGAACTGGGAGGTGCTGAGGGTGCTCAGTGTTCAACAAGCAGAAAACAGGCACACCAGCAGAAGACAGGCACACAAGCACTGTGGAAGGAGTGTGTCATTCAGGAAGCTCCTGCTCTGCTCCATACCCACGGTTGGAACCAGCTGAAGCCCCCTGGGAAGCCTTGGCCTTTTGAGTGCTTGTTGGGTCGCTGTAGACATCGAGTGGGCTGGGGGGCTTGTTTGTTTGTTCCGTGCTGAGCCTCTTTCCCTTGCATTTAATATTGTACAAACAAACAAAATAACAGTAAAGCTGTTCTCACACACAAAGCTGTGTAATGCCAAGACTCACACATTCAGGCACAGCTGCTGTCTCAGTCGTTTTAAAGCTTCTCAGCATAAAACTGTGGGCAGGCCTGTCCTGCAGTTCTTGGGTCTTCCCCGGGAGATCTGAAGACAATGAGAGGTTTGTGAAAACCATGTGGAACCCCAAATCTCATGTAATGTTCTTTTCTCACAAAAGTACAAGCTTTAAACTGTCCTGAGCTGTGAAATTCTGATGGGGGTATTACAGAGAAATGAACTGAGCCTCACAGAAACTCTGGGGAAGAAATATTACTTCTTATTTTACAGCCTGCTCAAGAACTGCTTTTAAAAGGCATTTAAATGTCTCCCTCACATATTCCAAAAAAATTAAAGTAATTTTTTTCAAAAGCAGCTCCTGACTACAGATATCTATTTCTAGAACCTGCAGGCCTGTTGTTTCTCAGAATGACTGCATATTTATACAGAGGATACTGAAATATTAAAAATAAATAAGCACTACTTTATTCTCTTGTCTTTTTGTAGCATGGGTAGAAGATAAATTATCCAATAAAAGGATTTATTCTTACAGCACTGAAGGACTCAAAAATCCAGAGATTTGATTTTTTTTTCCCCTCTTCCACCTGACTGGAACTTGCTTTTAGAAGAGGATTCCCAAGAGGCCACACCACCACGGAGCTCAGAGGCAGGTAACCTGGTCAGACACAGCTCATGCTGTTTTTCCCTGTGGGTGGCTCCAGCCTTTGCTCAGCACGTGTCACCCTATGGAAGAAGGCTCTGCTGAGCACCTAACTTCAGGTGTGAAAATACTTCTCTTGAGGCCAGGCCTTTTAGGCCATATTGTTGCCTAAGTGAGGTGTGAATAGAGGGCACAAAAAGCTTCCGAAATTCTAGTGAATTGTTCATAGTTTCAGGCAGTGAAAAACAATCTATCAGTCACAGTTTTAGCCACATACTGCTCCTGTGGGGAAAACCTGTTGTTGAGAAAACAACCATTATCTTATCTTCAGACTTTGGAAACACTAACATCAGCTTCCTATAATGATTCAAAGGTCTGCCTATATATAGAATGACAGCTGTGAAAAGAAACCTGTCCTAAATGATTGAATACACTTGTATGTATATTTAAAATACAATGTTGTCTTTTTAGGGCACCCAACAGCTCGAAGGATCTGGCCCTTCATTTGGTGAGCTCAAGCCTTTCCTCGCTGAAGCAGGTTTTGCTGGGTGCTGACTACTCTCGGTACCTCTGGTTTTACAGTTACATGCAGGAATCCTGGTTTTAAAAACAGCTACTAAAAGCCTTGAAGAACACAAAGATACCTGGTGATAATTCATTTCCACAAGCCCTAAATTGTCCCTGAAATGTAGAGAGAAGCAGCATGACTGCTACCTGCATCTACTGTTGATTTAGACTGCAAAACTTACTGCCTACCATATATATAACGCCTAGTGTGACAGGACCCCAAACACTGACTGAGCTACAGCTGTAGATAGTAAACTATTCAAAAATTTATATTATATATTTAACTCTTCACATTAGCTAGTTCGGAGCAGTTTGAATTCTGCTCACATATCCCACTGCATGTTGGCGAGTAAATAAATTAACTTTTGCCTCATCACCTATTCAAGTACCATAAATCTGAACACTGGTATGAAATATAGTTCGGAAGATCTC